ACAATGACTGGGAAGTAGGGAATGTTTTAAGTAAGGAAATTTGGTTGGCTCTTTCTATGTATATCGTGTAAGACCAAAAAAAAAAAAAAATTTTAATTTACAATATTTTTTTTTTAAGTTACAGCAGTTATTACAAATATCAGTACTGCTCTAAATTCCTGCCGAATTCCCTGACATATATGTTCTGATTGGTAGGATATATTAAAAAAACAATTGAAAAATAGTTACGTCAATACTGTTGTTGGTCTCACATCTGAGATCTGAGAGACTAACATCAGTACTTAAGGGTTGAATTGCCACGCCCATTTGTAGGCTTTGTCGCCTTAAACAAAAATCTTCCATCTACTGGATAAAAATTCCACAGGAATCCGTAATAAAATTTACATTTTTACATTGGCCATTTTATGCAAATATTTGAAATCGGTAGATAACTCTCTTGCCTTTTCTTCGGGTAAATATATTGCAATGGAATCGGTTGGAATTCATTTTTAGAGCTATGCTTTTTTGTCTAGAATTTGTCTAGAATTTCCAGTAGAATACTTCAGTCGCCGAAGCAAAGTCGGTTACATTTTCTATGAGCAAATTAACCCGCTCTAATACACATATTTATGTTTATATGTTTATATACATGTGAATGTTTGCACTTTGTATAGCATACCTGGACAGTGAGAGTATAGTATCTGCTAGATACTTTAATTGCAAACTACGTTTTGACTCCTTAGGTTACACATATGAGATATGTATATACATATGTTTGTATGTATGTACTTATGGACGCATTTCCTCTCCAACTTTTCACTCCGATGTAATCGCATGAATACGTTTATGAGCTGAGTTAATGTATGCACATTATCTAAAAACGTTTAATGGAAAAAAATTTCAACTCAACTATTGAGCATACTGTTCAGGGGGATATACTCAAGTAGACGTTCATAAGCTCTGTGGACTTCAATAACAGTTTAATGTTAACTTTTAAATTTCTCGCATGCGATAATTAAGAACTGCTCTGTTATATGAAAAATGTGCATACATATGTATGCAAGTACTATGTCGTCTAATTGTAGCCTTTACAAACAGTTTTCGAAATCACTACGTAAATACATAGCTACAATGAGGTTAATTTTAATAAGCTGTTAATATTAACAGTTGCATATATTTTTATAGAACTAAACCACTACTATACAAACTATAAATTAATATTCGCATATCTGATTAAAAAATGCAAATATCCGAATATCCGGAATATCGGAATATCCGTATGCCTACATACATACCTCGGCTATGTCGGTTAAGTCTTCAAAAAATCCTGAACCCATGGACTTTCCTCTCCTTCTGCAAAGTCCGGACATTCGGCATTCGTATAACAGCTTTTGCAGCTTCTGAAGAAGTTGTTATGTGGGAGCCCTAATCTCTCCGCGTGTGCCTAACGATGGAAATATGGCCTGTTAGCATACCGACGACTGTGGTTAAACCCCAACTGCTTAGCATGAGGAGATCCTTCGACCATTTTTCGTCCCATTTTGACAACGTAAGTATAGTCTTGCTGCATGTGGTGAGACTAGCCCATCTGTCGCTTGCTAGTTTAAGAGTTATGCCCCTTAGAATGAGCTTACAGGTAATAAGCGGCATGCCTAAACCCTTCCAGGATAGCGAAAGTGGAGCGGATGGGCCCTCTCTTGCAAGTTTGTCTGCCCTTTCTTTGTCTGGTATGTTCCGGGACCCCTCCACCCATACCAAATGAAGAGCACGTACGTAGATGTTCAACCGCCTCCTGTTCCTTCCTTCCGACTTCAGCTTGAAAAACGCTACCGAGAAGACCTGCTCCGTACCTTGCCGTCTAGTTTAGAACCATCGATTTAGAAGTGGGTTAATCCCCTCCTGACCTAAATTATCTGTCTGGAAGGGAAATTATATACCTCTTTGTGAAGTTCAGACTTGGTGCACTTGGTACGGCCATTCTGATTGTCTCTCCAGCCAGGTAGTTCCCGCAGCCTCAAGCCGGCGCACGCGGCTGATAGTTGTCCAACGATTTTGATTGGCAGAATATTGAGCAAGATATTGCCTCCGTTGGAATTGTGCGTAGAGCCCCACAGATTTAGAGCAACGGAGTTCTTTTCACCTTCTTAAATGCTTCAATTGTGGATTTTAAATTGTAGGTCTGGGAACACTTTTCCCACAGTATAACGACAGTAAGAAGCTATCTCAAGAATTCCTCAAATTACGCATTTTCCGCAGTTCAGAATATACACCGGTTTGGCCAATTTTTGGTAACATTAACGATAATTTCATAGAGAATATGCCGGCGATTTAGGGGAAGGAAAAGCATAGCGCCCACAATTTTGACTCTAGAAATATCTTTTTTAGTTATGTACTTCTAATGGACTGTAAATTACGGGTTCAAAAGATGTACGTAATTCCATAAGTATAATATTTTATATGGGCATTGCCAGGGGACAATCTTTTTAGTCAAAAATTAAGTGTGATATATCCATGTGAGTTATGGTCGAGCCTGGTTTATTTTTTTGAATGTACGGGGGTGGTTCCAGAAATACCCGGCCTAACCTAGAGATGGCGGTAGTGGTTTGAAATATATCACTGTGTCAAAAAGTACACAATCTATAAAGTATATGTTTCAAGTTTGATTGCACATGCAGGAATATTTTTGCACAAAATTTACCCGTAGGTGGTGCCGGTGTTACCACACCCGTATTTATGGACCGCTAGTTGGCGCTTTAGTCCAAATATTAACTGATATAATTTGATTTCCAATATCTTCGCACCATTTTTACAGCAGTTTCCAACTTTTACAATAAATATAGTGTTTAAAAACGGCTATACAAAAAAAAACAAAAAAAAATTATTTAAATTATATTTCTTTACCCCACATCTACATTCGATTTCACCTAAATCGCCCAAATGACGCACTGTGCGGCGTCTCTCTTTCAGAAAACCATAGTGAAATATGATGAATCAGATTGAAACGGGTTTCGGTCGTATTAATTTAAGAAAATCTATCAAAACTCACCAAAGAAAATTTTTCTTAATGCATCTCTCAATTGTAAGGGTCCAGCAATCCGCAACCCACTGTTGCTCATTGTTCAACAATTGTATCTGTGGGATTCAGAAAATTTCCAGAAGCAAACTAACTATAAAGCAATTCGAAATAACAGTGTCAGTCAATGCCAGAGATACTTTGCGTTAGACAGGGACAACCATAATGTCACTTGTGTTGGCCAGGCAGTGGAATAACTGAGGTAATGGTGTTGGTGGTGGTGATGATGTTTCTGTTACTTATGTATATGTACATGCTAATACTACTGCTGCTGATTGTGATTGTGCCAGAAGAACGTGGTACGTGGATTTAGTTATTTTTCGCTTTTTGTTAAAGTAACGACGAATTGCAACGGCGCGACGTATTTTAAATACATTCCTGTATATTTTTTATTACACTGCTTTATTGTATTTTTCGAGTGTGTTTTCCCCCAAACGACAAAAAAAACACAATAAAAAATACGATAGTACTACTCGTATAGTCAGTAACAAAAAAAAAGGAGTGGTGCTAGTGCATACGTATCGGAGTATAGCATATCTGTGCATATACATATGTATGGATTTTACTCCTACAAATATACACATATACACGTAGGGGGCATACGTACATATGTACATACAGTGTGGACATAGATGTATGTATACATGTGTGAAGCAAACCTGCTTCTTAGCAGTGTCACAGCAACACTAACAACATTGAAAAATTTAAGTAGATTTCGTTGAAAAGATTAAGCAACATTTTTATGGTGATATCGAAATACATATGTACATATATCATAAACGGTTAAATGTGTTAAAGAAAGTTGGAATACCTTGCCTGAGTTTGGATTAGGAAGGTGTAGATTTATTTATATTTTAATTGTACGACATTTTTGCATTAAAATCAACGGCAACCTAAAGAAGCGTAGACGTACAAAAAAAAAATATTGCCGAACCTTTTTCGATTACTTTACCGCGATACGCAGTTAACCACCTATATCGTCTATGTTTTTTTAGCACAAAATACAAAATTTTGCAAAAATTCAACAATTTACAACGACGCAGCGTACGATTTTTAATAGAGTAAAAAGCAAAAGCAAGCATAAAGTAAAACAGGGGAAAACGATAAAAGCGAACAAGTTTCAAACCGAATCGCATATGTACGTATTTATGTATGTCCCTCAATGCCAATCGGATCGAAAAAGTCGCGTCGCACTGAGTTCAAGTGGAGAGGAGTGGAGTGTAGTGGTGCGAATTGCTGCAGTTTAACAGTGACGGGGTGTGGTGCAACAACAACAACAACAACAACAGCAAGTGGCACATAGTAACAAACTGAAAAAGTTTATACATTTTTGCAAAGGTTTTCATGTACACTTCGGGCAGTAGGATTCCAAAATCACATAGCAAATATTGAACTGGAAAAAAATAATAGAAAATCAACGCGTGCTGCATATTTTACACAAAAACCAAAGAAAAGTATGTAAAGCATAAATCACTTGAAAATACATACATACATACATACTCGTACATACAAAAGCATAAAATTAATATCGTTCGGACGCATTTTATCACTTCCGCTACTTTCAACCAACCCTCCCTCCCTCCCTCTGGCTTTTCAGCTTTGTACTCGTCGTAGTTACTTATCGACTAACTGCTCGCTTGCGCGCGCCCCACATTGCAAGTATCTGCTGATAACCAACCGACTTTTGACAGCTGTTAAATACGCAGTGGCCAAACTGACAGCGACGATAGTTGCACATGTGACAAGTAACGATTGTTAAAAAGCGTAGTGTACGTATTTGTAGTAGTGTGTGCCTCTCCCTGCAAAGAATAGATTAAAAAAAAAAAAAAGAATTAAAATAAAATTATATGAGCCCACGCTCCTCGCTTAAATCAACATCAATTTATTTGATTAAACCTTTTTCATTTCCCGAAATAGAACTAACAAAAAAAAAAACGAATAAATAACAATGAAAGTTAAACTCGATGCCGCGAAAGCCAAAATTCCCCCCATACTCACTTCAGCAATGACCAGTCAAGAGGATGTCAACGATGTGTCCGCCGACGATAGAGCTTTAGCATTGAAGTTAGAGCGGCGCGCCGAAGAAAAAACAACAGAAACGCGACACTTCCATGTGGTGGCAGAAGATACCGAGGACGGAACGGATGAACTTGTAGAGGAGATTGCAGCTGAAGCTGAGAACATGCAAGAAGGGGATTTTGATGAAAATTCGTCGAGTCACAATTCATTTGATATTTTACCAGCATTATCAGCATTGACATCGACTACACCGACAACAACAAATGCTACACGGAATAATCTTATCGTAAGTGCGTAATAAATACCAGCAATCACTCAATACAACTATCACCAATAGCTAGGGATGACAGCGATTAATCGTTTGATTTAATTAATCGATTATTTTTGTCTAACTTACGATTTAATTGTATCGTAGTCGATTAATTGTAGATTAATTGTAAAATATTTTCAAGAAATATGAATTCTGTAGCTGTCGAAAATTGCAAAACGGCCCACTGTTAAAGCTGCAAAACTAATGGTGATTTCGTTTCTATCAAAAAATGTTGCCTTTTGATTGCCACTTTCTCTTTTCGTGTTCGATTCTAAATTAAAGACAAAGGGTGAGAAAATTGTGGGTGCCTTTCTTAAAATGTCACACTCTTTTAAAACAAAAAAGCCACATTATCTGCCCTGTGAAGCTTTTTCAGGGGGAGATAGTTGCCCCGAAAATCAGATGGTTGTTTAAAACGACAATAACTATTATAAAATGCGTGAGATAGACAAGGATAAAAAGTCAAAAAATGCCTTTTTACAGGGTTGAGTGTAACATCAAACACATTTTACCCCGGGGGAAGGGCAACATTTTTTGCAAGAAACGAAATCACCATAAATATGTAGTTGCAAGTTGGTCAACCTTGAGTAAATGAAAACGGTTTACCCAAAACTTTACAGACTTTCGAAAAAAATACTGTCATTTAGTTGGTACCTCGGTGCCTACTAAGCGCCTTCTTTCAAAAGCTGGTGCTAGAGCCACCGAGAAACGCAACCGCTTAACAACAAAACGCTTATCACAACTTTTGTTTTTGCAAAAATGGTTACTTAAGAAATAATTATCGGCGCAAAGAATACTCGTTTTTTTTTTATTTAAGGCTAATTAACAAGAGAATTGGGAACTTTTTGTGGAGAAATGTTTTTGTGAATATTCACTATAAAATATGCCTTTAAAATTCGATTAATCCATTATTTCTCAATAATCGCAATTAATTGCAAATAGTATTTTTTTTTTGATTGTGATTAATCAATCGACTATTTTATTTATTTTTGTCATCTCTACACATAGCTTAATCACACTAAATGAGTTATGCATACTTAGGCATTGCATAGTAAGACGTGAGAGTTGTCACATAAGGAAAATATTAAAAGAGTTTTGGGTGTAACAGCTGCCGCTCAATTGGTGCGCTAATCGTTGCGTTTTCCAGCGCGTCCATTTTTTGCGTTTTCTCTATTTTGTCGCCTTTCTTTCTTTCCGTTTTCTTCACAGAACACCCTGCCAAAAATAAAAATTCCATTTGCACGGCGCATAGTATTCCTCAATATAAATCCCACCATCGAGTAGGCTTTAGAAGAGACTAAATCAATGTGTTTGAAAAAGTAAGTTTAGTGTCAAAAATAATTCCCAACCCCTTAATTTCGGATTTACGCATTAAATCAACCCCATTTAGATAATACTGATTACAGTTGATATTAGTTGGAACCTTTGTATTCATATACATACATTTGCATTCTTTAATCGGTGCTTAGAGGTGGCTACTTCTCCTCGGGAGGGTCATGATTCAATTTCTGGTCCCTCCAACATCAAAAAGTATTTTCAAATACCGGTCGCCTCTCGACAGACAATGGCAAACCTCCGAGTGTGCTTCTGCTATAAAAAGCTTCTTGGTAGGTAGAGTATTTGTGTACAATATCGTTGAAAACGTTTAAGCGCCAAACATTTATTTATCGGGATCCTCCTCAAAAAACCTAGAATATCATTTTAAAACTATTTAGGGGTTTCCCTTAAACTAAAAAAAGCCTTGAAAACTTCTAAAATCTCAAAACTTTAATTGAGAGGTCAAGATTTGTATATTGATATTCGAAGAAACAAGATTTAAAAAAAAAACGCCTATATTTGTACATCCAAAAGCCGGTGAAAACCTTCGAAAATCTTCAAAAAATAAAGTTTCATACATACATATGTAAATATGTACATATTTATATACATACATGCATATAGTACATACTTATGTATGTTTGCATACATATATGTAAATACATGTCTATAAATGCTTGTATATATGCATATACTATATATATTTCTTTTTAACATACGAATCATTAAAATCAATTTCACAAAACTCGTTTCTGAACGCTAAACACATTTATTGTTTAATTAACTACATATTGTTTTTCTTTGTTTAGCTTTTGCTTCTCTCCATTTGATTTTTAATCGTAATTCCTCTTTAAATCTTCTTTATCTGACAGATACAGTAGGTGCGATAGAAATATCAACAACGTCAACGGTATTAAATGGGGGAGGGGAAGCTATGTATGTACATATGTATGTAACCAGTGTCGAGTTATTGAGTCGCTGAGTTGTTTTTTTTTTCACGTCAATGCCATTGTATTGTTGTAGTCATGGGAGTCTTTTTGGGGTAACTAAGTATGTATGTAGTACACTGCATTGCTTTTGCCTTTTCGTACACCTTTGGAATTTCAATTTACACTTTTCATATTACGTTGTTTCTTTTGTCTCTGTGTTTTTTCTGCTTCTGCTCCTCCTTTCTGTTTTCTTATTTTCCGTTTTTTCTTTTATTCTTCGCGTATTTCATTATATGGTTTATTCTCCAGTTGGAATTTTTCTTACTTTTGACATTTGGCATATATTTATACAAATACATTGATAGTTCCGACGAAGAGTAACACACTATAAACATGAAATGGGTTGCTCTCTATTCCTCATTCGCATTCGCAGCAATGAATTCGTGCTGTTAAATAAATGTTAAGAATATTGCATGCAATTTATTCTTGGCACAATGACATATTTAGCAAGCTGTTCGTGAATAGTAGCGGTGATTTGAAATGTTATCAATTTAGTATTTGTTAACAGTGGTTGCATTCAACACGTGCATTATGACAGAAAATGTAAATGCATATATGCATGTACATATGTATGTGTATGTTTGGCTTCATTTGTGAGTTCACGCTCACTGTGTGTATGGCAAAATCTCAAATGTTAGAATTAGCTGCGCATTCACATTATGCTCGAGTCAAGGTCAAATGTCGTAATAAATCTTAGGAATTGCGAAATTAATTTTAAATCTGTAAGTGTTTTCATAGGTAGGATTAAATCAGCTCTTTTAAATTTTATGCTACGCATTACCAAGATATTTGTTGACACTTTACTTATTTCCATTATGTGTTGTTGTTGCGTTCCCTAACTCGCAAGAAGTTGCAAGAATTTACAAGAAAGCGTTCCCGTATTCAGTTCCCTGCCAAAGTAAAGTAAAGATGGGAGAGTAAATTGGTTCTCTCTTTGACAGAAATTGCAAAACTTTACCCGAAGAAATTTTGCTGGTAATTGTTGCGTTCCCTAAATCGCAAGAAGTTACAAGAATTTACAGGAATTTACCAGAAAGCGTTCCCGTACTCGGTTCACTGGCTTCTTTTGCTTTTTGACAGCTCTACAGGTTTTATCCAAATGATAAAACACAGCTATATATCGTCACCTGAAATGGAAAGTCATGGCTAATATTTTTTTTTTTATTATTATTATTTTTCAACAAATGTTGTGAGGAGTTGTAATTCGATGAAATCCACCATATATGTAAATCAAAAAGTGAATTTTAAATTTTTTATTAGTTATCACTTTTTGCAATTCATCGATAATGTTTGTTACGTCTTTTTACATTTCAAGTGACGATAAAAAAAAAACAAAAAAACTATGTCTACGGTGTATTTGACAGTTTTACCAATTTTCACCTAAAAAGAGTTTTTGGTTTTTCCCTTTTTCTCCAAAGGTGACGATCCTTCCATTTAAACAAAAAAATTAACCAAAAAGTCTTCACTTTTGTCCCTGAAAATACCATTCCTGTACCTTGTTTATTGAACAACAAAAAAATACTAGCAAATTGTGTTATTAAAATAAAAAAAAATTTGCAAAAATCAGCTCTTGTTGCTCAATAAGTGACTATAAGTGACCTTAGAGTCAAGGTGCAGGGATGGTATATTTAGGGATTGTAGTCGAAAATTCAAGGCTTGATTAAAGCCTAACTGAAAGATTCCATCACCTTTTGCTTAATTGCAGTAGGTACTCAAACTTCGAACAAACCACGTTTTTTTCCACCTAAAATGCTACTCATCGTGAACTTCCTAATTATTTGGTTATAATTGCCAAAGCTTGTGTTTCCGTCGTGTGTTGTATGGCCTAGCCTACCGTCACTTAATGTCCTTAACTGGAGGGAGCCCTTTAAGGTCACATGTAGAGTGTTATGATACAGTGTGGAGTAAGGCCTGGAGACCTATATAGAATATTGTGTACTTTCATCGCCCTCATTTCCTTTGTTATGTTCACTGAGTCGTGGTTTAGACAATGTAGAAGTTTTACTGACATAGCGTCGTGATCTGGAGTCTATGTTGAGGACATGGTGAACCATCATCCATTCACTTTTGGCGATATGCCCAGTATTCCGAGCTGGTGAAAATTTAAAAGTTTATATATACCAGCCTATAACTACATACTTCCAAGCAATGGAACCGATTACTCAGAAGTACCTGAAAATGAGAAATTTCACCGTTTGGATAGAAAGGACCTAGACCAAGTATTTCATGCTCCGCAACGAGAAATAGCGCTCCCACTTTCGGCCATGGCAGTCACTGCCAGAAACTGGTTGATTGAATTGACGGGACTGCAGTTAATATGTAGGATTGCTGGCTGTCTGGAGGAAAGGATGAGGCGGCGTAAGACTTTTTGTGCTTCTTGTGCAGCTTTTATGTCGCAAAAAAAAAGTTTAATAATTATTTAAAATTCTCAAAATGATCAAATGAATTATTATATCTACTTACATTTGAGAATAGTCGTGGTAGTAGTAATTAGTAAATCGTGAATTTTATATGCAGTTATATCTATACATACTTGTATAACTATGTATATACATATGTACATCCATCTGAATATTAAAAATTTATTTGTGTCAACATTCAATTCGTGAATTCTCAACGCAACAAAACCGAAAAAATGACGATATAGCTGTTGCCATAAAAGGGTATAATTTCA